TCGTATCGTAATGCCTCCGTGGCCGGACGGTTACCATGTTGGACTGCCACGCAGAGGTCCCAGGTTCGATTCCCGGGCCGGGAGAAATAATTGTATGGTCTATATTTATTTCTCTCGTGAGTTTGGGTGTAATTTGTAGTTGTTTATTTGTGTGTCCATGACACCCGCGACACAGGGTGTCCCTAGTGCGGGGCTATGTTGAGTGTATGCGTAATTATAAAAAAAATATGTCTGTGATGTCCAATTGAATGTCTTAGCTGTCTAAATCAAGCAATAAAAAGCATTGTTCAGTGACAAACTTTTTTGGAGAATGGCAAGTTTTTCGTCACAGTGTGTATAAATACATTGTAAGTTTCTTAATTCTTTATTACAATGTAAGTCGTAAACAGCGCCAAATTTGAGTTTAGCGCAATAATTAATCAAAGTTTTAGAAAGAATGTGCGTTCGAATTTTGTTATCAAATTGCAAACTAACCATAATCATTTCAATGATAACGGCAAGATGTGATATATAAATTTGTCTTACTTCAAATTGTGAAGTATAAAATTTAAAAGAAAAACATTTTAGAAAACGTGATGTTTCCCTTTGCACATAACCGGTACGTTTACCATACGTTTTGAACGCTGCTAAATAAGCATATAGCTATCTGTTTTATAATTATTAATTGTATAGCTCCATCTAACTTTTTGGGTGACAGCGTTAGCATGTTAGAAACAACACTTAATTTATGTTTTAAAACAACAATTAATGTTTTAAATGTAAAATTCACAATCTTGCCGTGAGAGTCTTTCACGGAAATTTCTGCGATCAAATTGCATTTAGTAAAACAAGTCATAATACCCTTTGTAGAATAATCGCACATATAATATATATGGGGCATTATATTATACAATATGTAATAATCAAAAGTGGTTTTATCACGTGAAAGTCATAAAAATAATATGAACTTCACGAAACAATGTAACAGACAATATTTATATATATATGAACTAAATTTTGTAGAAAAGTTGTACAATTTCACAATTTACAACTCTTCTCTTTTAGCATATATGTTTTTGTGGCAGTCAAGCTTTTTGTGAAAGAGTTTGTCCAGGGAAGTATTGCCATTTCACGTAATGTGAGCATTGCTGCGTTCCGGTTTGGAAGGATAAGGGTGCTGGTGAAATTACACGCACATGGAACTTGTAAACTTATGTCTCAGGGTAACGAGCGCAGTGGCAGTGCCCATAAGTTCTTTGCAATTTATAGCTCTACTGACACTGCAACTGTTATGAATAGGCGTGTCGCTTACCACCAGGCGCACGACTTGTTTATCCCGTCACCCAAGTATATAGAATTATAAAAAAAAGTTATCGATAAATTCCGTTCGTAGAATCGTGAAATCTGTCTCCTAAAACGTTGTCATTTTACAGACGTGGTTCATTACATCGAGGGTTGTCTGGCAGAGACCCTGTCAATTTCCGTTCGGATTTTGAAGGCAAGAGTGGTTATACACGGCGACATTCAGAATCGCTACACTTGTGAGTTATAGGCGAGTGCATCGATACAAACACGCGACTGCATCGCGACAGTGTAGCGATGCAATCGCGCGTTTGTATCGATGCACTCACGCGCTTGCATCACTATGCAAGCGCGTGACTGCATCGATACAAACGCGCAGTTTTAAGCAGTGGCTTAAAATCACGCGCGTGTGTACAAAAGTAGACGATTAGCAGCTGCATCGCTACTACATCGCGTTTGCATCTCTACTAAAAGTCGCCGTTTGCACATAGGACAATCAACTTTATGTCTCAACGTGTGGGTGCAGTAGCAGTGTCCCTCAGATTTCTTCGATTTAAGATTATAAAAGGCATTGTAACTGTACAGGTGTCGCGAGACGCGTGACTTGTTCGTCCCATTACATGATATCACTAAAAAAATTTGTCATTCCCATATTGACTTCAAAGGTTTCCTGAGATGTCGTGATTGCCGTAAAATCTTTTATGTTTTTTATTATGGACCGTAGTATTTTCTTTCCAAAGTTTTGTACGATACGAAATATGACGGTTACATGAATAGCGCTGTAACATTTCCTTTGAAGTGATGGAAGAATTGATGATCACATATAATTGGGTACAAGGAAGGAATAATAACAGGCGTCTTGGAAGGTAGTCTTGGAAATATTCCTGGAAATTTCGCCTAGACCTAAAAAGAATACTAATCAAAATTGATAACAGTGATATGCCCTTTGCGTCAGGCAGTCAATTGGAAATGAAACTATATTTTTGTCTGGATTTAAAATCGTGAAGGGTGATGGCACCAACGATGAACATTTTAAGGGAAGTGTGTTTTTAAATTATGTTTAACTTATATCAATTCTGTTTACTTGACAAATATGGCCGATCCTCGTGACTTTTTCAAAAATGACAACAGAAAGTGTATTGTCTTTAGGGTTCTGTGTTACTATGATGTAATGATCACAAAAAAAGTGCCTACCAATTAGTCATTTAATGTTATGTGAAATGATAATTAAAAAACTGTTTAATTGATAATTGAAATGAATAGACAAAGTCTTGGTCGATAACATTTTTTACCTTTCATTTTAAATTGAATGTTCCCAATCTATATATAAGTATATTAAGGAGTAAGGTCTGGAGCAATTTACTGGCACATGTGCGCACAACAAAAACTATATGTCCTAGAAACATGGTAATTTGAGGGTATGTTACTTTTATTTAGTGTAAACGTACTAATAATGGATTTTTCGAAATTCAACCCTTAAGAGGGTAATAAAGGTAATGTTCTGTATGAAAAATCGTATTCCATGAAATAACAAAAGTGAAACTTAATATAAATATTCTATAATGCAAATAGTAAAAGACTGACATGACATTTTTCTAAGATTACCCCTAAATAAGGGCGAACTGGAGTAATAGAGTTTGTATGGGAACTCTTTAACGCGAAGTGCGATTTGCTTTAAACTTGGTTTGGATACTGTAAATGCAAAATACTTTAAATACGTGTTTCAGGGCTTTCCAAAACTACCCCTAAAATTGGTAAGTTATATAACGAAGTATTTAAAAAAATCTTCTGTATAGAAAATCGTATTCTTTACATTTGTTGGAATAATGTTGAAAAGATAACATGGCTCTAGATTCCACACAAATTTGATTCAAAGTGTATCCCGTAGCGTTTAAATTTATTTTGAAAAGAGCAATCCATAGAGTTTTTTACTCGTTCTTCTCAGGGAAGTCAGCGTATTGAACGAGCTTGACTTTGATTTATGTTTTTATAGTAAATAATGCACGTAACAAATTTACGCGTGCGCAGCCGCAGGCAACATCTAATTCTTAATAATTACTCAAATTACTCAAATGATGCGGTCGAATACTGATTTAGCTTGTACTTGTGTGTGATAATCGCAGTTCAAAAATCAATTTATACAACTATTACTTACTTTATATTATGTGCATTTTATAGTACCTAATGCTCTGTACAAATCTTTTTACGAATAAAAAAAAATATCACTATGATTACTATTTAGTCTCAAATAATTGTACTGAGCATTATGATAACAATGCTTGAGATTGAGTTATATGGAATATCACGACGTTTTACAACCGTGAGCTGAGTTAAAGAAACTTTCACAGATTTCTCACAGAGGGCGCTACGGAAAAAAATCGTTAAAAAAACAAAGACCTGCACATACAAAAATTCGTACGGTCTGCTGGTTCGTTCTATAGCTCTGTTGGGAGAACGTCAGGCATGGTATGCTGAAGGCACTGGGTCCAATCCAGCCGGAGTAAAGGATTTTTTCTTATTTGTATTAAAAACATTGTACAAATCTAGTGCGTAAACAAAGACAACTACTTACTATCTAGATTACGAAGTATTGTTGTGTTTTGAAATTCGTAATTCGGGTAATTCAATTTAAAACGCTTATTCTGTGTATCAAAAGCATTCTATATCCAATTTTGGACTATGCAAATGTTTGTTATCCGGATCTGACAATCAACCTGCTTAATAAATTGGAACGCCTCCAAAATATGTGTGTAAGTTTTATTTTCGGACTTTGTAAGTTTGACCACGTTTCCCAGTTTCGCACACAACTTAAATGGCTACCCATCCACCGGCGTAGAGACCTTCACTAGTTTCCCTTCTTTACTCTACTTTATTCTATTTCTTCACGCCTTACCTTAAAGAACATTTTATTTTTCACTCTTCTACACTCTGCTGTTGTCTTCGCTCCTCTGATAGATTCATACTAAACATGCCTCTGATTTTTTTTCCAACTCGTTTACTGTATCTGCTATTCGGCTATGGAATTATCTTCCAGAACCTATTAGTCGATCCCCGAATCTCTCCCGATCTCTTGATTCCTTCAAACGACATGTTAAGGAACATTTCCTTAACTACTAAGTCTGTTTTTTACCTACATTCCTCTCCTTCATTTTATTTTGTTTTGCGTGGGTACTGTTCTGTGTTATAATTGTAATTTCTAATGTGCAATAAAGAATATTTCATTCATTCATTCATTTATTCAAACGAGCAACTTTTTTCTACGACTTTTGCTTAATGTGCATTTCTTTTATCTTTCCACACATTTAAATTTCACTCTATAAAGAACATACTAATTAATCTGTTATCACCAAAACAGCGCAGCACGCGTATATAATAATACATTGCCGACATCCACTGGCGCCAGGTTTGTATTACACCATATGGCTATAAAGCATATGACCTAGCAACCTGAGCCGAATAACGGGCCAATGATGATTCAAATGAAACAAGTTCGGCTATTTATTACATAAGTGTGACTAGAAATCAGTAATACTCGATAAAATATTTATCGACTGCAATCACTAGCTGCTTGTAAGCGGACAACACTTTTGCGTAATGAACTGTCATTTTACTCCATCTTCGAAAAAAGACAGACTGACAGACAATGGTCTTCGCAGACAATAATAGGTATTTAACTCTTGAATTATTTAACAATAACAATTCATGTATATTATTCGCAGGTATCCGTCTCATAGCTCTGCACTGTGCACCGACCGACGTTGCACGATCGCCATTCTTTGCAGCTTCATCCTGCCACCTATACTGTGCATACCTTCATATTTTGTAAGTAATCCTTAGTATAGTTAAGACAAGTAAGGCAACTTCCGCCTTATGGGCGTATCAGGTACTACACTTCGCTCGGAGCGTAGCGTTCTCTCATTATTATTTTAGTCATACCTCCAAATTGTAAACATAAATCTTTCAAAAATTAAGGTGTTCTTCACAGCATTCTCGCGTTATATTGAAGTAACCTTTGTTAAATGCAGTACTTACGTATTGATAATTTTATATGGAAATGAAATGCTGAATAATTCTGAATTTGAGTTACCTTGTTCAAACCACCATAAAAACAACAACAAACACGTCTACTATTTGATGTCATTTTTTAAATACCAAGCGAACGCTTCAGGTCTATAATGAACGGCGTATGGCGTCACACGCTTTGCAACGTGACTGCACCGCGAGATTACGCGAATGTGTGCGTCCGTACAAGACGCGCGGTGGACATTACTACTACGTTTGTATGGATTTACCCTACTTGTTTTGTAATACAATGCAATTTAGTCTTACTCTCTGCATGCGTATTAACAAATTAAAAAACATTTATACAATCACTTAATTCAGTATGAGCTGAAGAACACATATCGAAATTATACGTGCTATTTGCTCGATTGATAGTTCGATCATTCGCTCCTGTAGGAATTTCCCTCCTTGTTTGTCGTACCAGATTAACGAACCGGAATTCTTGTTCTTAATCATCTTTGAATATTAAAAATGTAGTCTCCACTAAAACCATTTTAATTAAGTCGGGTCCAAATTATTCAAGCCGAGTACGAGTTGGACGCGTTTTGGAAACGGGGATATGAAAGCCTATGTAACGGTATGCTGAGAAAATCAGCTATACAAATGTGAAAAAAATCTCATTAGACCGATTGAACCATCTATCGGTGTGAAAGTATCCGAAAAGCCACACGTGATCATACGTCAAAAGTACTTTTGTACATGAAAATCATAAAAAAGTCGCTTCTTGCCCGTGGACTATCTGACTGGTTCATCTCGGTGGATCACGGGCAATTATTTCTTTCCGTAGTTCACCTATGTCCACTTGGGTGTCATATAATATAAATAATACGAAGTACATAAAAAAAATTACGTATATGTAAAATATCGTAACTATTTAAGCATAAAATTAGTAGAGCTCCTTGTGAAAGAGTTCGTCCAGGGAAGTACTGCCACCTTATGTATTTCTGTCGCCAAGCAGTAATGTCAGCATTATTGTGCTCCAGTTTTGAAGGGTAAGGGTGCTGGTAAAATTACAGGCATATGGGACTTGTCAACTTATGTCTCAGTGTAACGGGCGCAGCTTAAAGCTCTGAGTGGAGATGCAACAGCTATGGATAGGCGTGTAGCTATGGTGTAGCTTACCATCAGGCGCACGCCAGTGTTGGGCGTTAATCAATTAAATTTCAATCAGAAATTCAATCAGATTAAAAAACCAATTCAATTGAAATTAGTTGCAATTAAATCAATTGCGACGCGTCGCAACTGGTTTAATTGCAATTGATTTAAATTGAATTGCTTTAATTGAAATTAATTTTTTTAGTTGTTCTAAGAAACAATTGACACTAACAATTAAAACCGAAAGTACCGAATAAAAGTGTCATTACGAATATGGGTTTAAGGTGTGGATTAGGGGTGTGTTAGGGGGTGGGTTAGGGGACCGGTTGGCGGCCGCCCAACCGGCCCCCCAACATTTTTTTTTTTTTTTTACGTGGGGAAATCCTCATGGATATCTCTCTGCTGCGGGGGCAACAGAGAGATCATGTCGGACTCCTACCGACTAAAACCCCACGGTGTTCCGTCCCTGCACCTTTTGCCGGGACTACGGGAACGCTTTCGCACTCTTCCGCGGTCCCGACGGCGCTGGCCCTCGGCCGAGAGCCCCTTCCCATTGAGGTGGAGCTGGAGAAACACCACCCCATTCAACACTTACCGGGGCACGCAGGACCACCTCGCGCGCCACCTCGGGATCTATACATTACGGGCGGCGGACGCCCCCGCGTCCACTGCCAAAATCCCTATTATGGGGGTTGAAGGAGGGCATGATGGTGCCTCCTCCGACGCCCTGCTCTCCTGCGGCGGATTGGAAGAAGGGTGGTAGCCTCCCTCTCCCGCTCCGCAGCTTCCTTCTGCGACATTACGTGTTCGCAGAAGGATACTACCTCCATCCACGACCTGTCACTTTCCAGCATTGATTTGATCATTGCAGGGAGTGACAGGTCGTGCCCCACTGCGGCAACAAGTTCACGGCGCTCATTGGCCCAGGCTGGGCACACCTGCAGCGTGTGCTGTGCCGTGTCTTCACAGCAGCCACAATGGTGACATTCGGTTGTCGGTTCCCTCCGCGCTATATGACACAGGTACTTTCCGAAGCAACCATGCCCGGAAAGCACCTGCACCAGCCGGAAAGTCAAGGACCCATGCGCCCTGTCCATCCAGTTCTCAAAAACCGGACGGATAGCCTCCACGGTCCAGCTCCCGGCTCTGGGTAGGGCCAGTCGCCCCCTCCACTTTCTAAGCAGGGACTGATGCGCATGAAACTTCCACGACTGCACTTCCTGCAGCGTGGGATCCTCGCCACGGAGACGGAGGTTAATGCGCCATTGATACATGGCAGCATAGACCTCCGCCTCCAGGTCCCAGGGAGGAGACCCCGCTAACAAGCATGCCGCCTCATAGGATATGGTGCGATATCCTCTGATAGCCCCGACCGCCATCACCCTCTGAGATCTCCTCAGGAGTGCGATGTTTTTCTCTGTGAGGGCGTCAGACCGTACGGGAGCCCCGTATAGAGCCATCGAGCGCACCACTCCCATGTACAGGCGACGGCTGCTCGCTTTGGGCCCTCCGAGGTTGGGCAACAGCCGCTTTAAAGCAGCAGCCGTTCCCATTAAACGAGGGATCATGAGAGTAAAGTGCTCGCGGAAGTTCCATCGAGAGTCGAGGACGAGACCAAGATACTTCATCGTGAGCTCGACTCCGATGCGAGTCTCACCGATAGTGATATGAGAACTCCGTGGCGGCGCCCGCCGAGGGCCATGAAAGCACATGGCCTCTGACTTGTTAAGCGCCACCCGGAGTCCCAACATCTCTATTCTACCGACAACCTGTGCCACCGCCTCCGTGGCAAGACGGGCAGCGTCCGCGAAAGTCTCACCTCGTACCATCACCAACGTGTCATCTGCGTAGCAGATCACGCTGGCGCCCGGAGGGAGATCTCCCCGTAACACCCAATCGAATCCGATGTTCCACAGGAGCGGTCCTAGCACTGACCCCTGCGGGACCCCACACGACATTACCGTTTGCAACAACCGCCCCTCCCGCCCAGGGTATGAAATGTACCTCTCAGACAGGTAGGCCCCGACGATCCGACGTAGGTAGGGAGGCACCTCATGGTACTTCAGTGCTTCCCCAAAGCAACCCCACGGCAAGGAATTGAACGCGTTGGCGATGTCTAGAGACACCGCCAGCATTACCCCGCCATGGTTTACCACTTCTTCTGAACAGGCTTTGACGCGAATGATAGCGTCAATCGTTGACCGTCCTACCCGAAAACCGAACTGATGGTCGGATAAGTCGGGACCCTCTCTGCCGAGATGCCGGATGAGGCGACCAGCTATGATTCGCTCAAACAGTTTATCGGCCTCATCCAGCATGACAATTGGACGGTAGGCAGAGGGAGAATCTGCGGGGCGTCCGTCCTTCCTCAAAAGCACGAGTCTGCCCGTCTTCCACATACTTGGGAACCGGCCCGTCTCCAAACAGGCATCTAGGAGCCGTCGGAACCGGTTCTCGAGAGCATCTAGGGCCAATACCCAACCGGCCCCCCAACTAAACTAACTAACCTAATCCACCCCTAACCCACCCCTAACTCACCCCTAACCACCCTAACCCACGCCCTAACCCACCCCCTTACCCACCTCCTGACCCACCCTCTGACCCACCTCCTATCCCAACCACTGACCCACCTTCTAAACCACCCTTTTTTTGACGTGGGTGAAATCCTTATGGATACTCCTGAGCCCAGGGAGACTCAGGGGTTATGTGGGGACTCTCCTATCTCCAGGCTGGAAGGCCTACCCCACTAAAACCCCCCGGGTTTCCCTCTCGCCGGTTGAGTCGGCGCCGTGGGATCAGTGAACATTTACCACGATGCTGCCTGGCCGCCCTAACTTGCGCCAGGGCTCCCGCGCCAACGGAGGGGCGAGTCGAGGGATCCGCCAAGCCCTCTTTCCACCGATCTCGCATGCGCTGCGCCGCGAGGCGGCGCTCCCGCTCCACCTCTTGGAGAGTGGGTAGCTCGCCTCGGTCCCTCATTCCCCGCCGGTAGGTGCGGACCTCCGCTAGGACCTCGGCTTCGAGGTCCCACGGCGGAGTACTAGTGAGGACGCATACGGCAGCGCAGGCCACCGTCATGTATGCCCTGCACATTCGCAGGGCGACCACCCTCTGGGGCCTCCTCAGCAGCGACTTCGTCGCCGCTGATAAGGCCCCACTCCAAATGGGAGCTCCGTATAAGACCATACTCCGGGTCACCCTGGCGTATAGCCTTCTCCTAAACCACCCCTAACCCACCCGCTGACCCACCCCCTAATCCACACCTAAACCACCTCTTAACTCACCCCTAACTCACCTCCTAACCCCCCAACCCAAACCCTAACCCACCACCTAACTTACCCCTAACCACCCCAACCCAAATCCTAATCCCTTAACCCAAACTCCAACCCCCTAACACAAATCCTAACTCACCCCCTAACCCACGCCCTAACTCACCCCCATATGCCCTATAAATTTATCATAATTGTCAGTTTTAATTGTTAATCAAAAACATGGAAAAGATTGAAAATTTATTAATTGTTAATTGTAGATCGCGATAAACGATTGCTCAATTGTTAGTTGCGAGAACCGCAATTAACAATTAAATAATTAATGCTGTTTCGCAATTGACAATTCATTAATTAATTGTCATTGTTGCTTGTTCTGGCAATTAATTAATCTTTAAT